GGCGGTGGGGGGCACCACCCTGGCCGCCTCCCGCCACCCTCCACGGGGACAGCGGTGCCACTTTACCCTTCTGCCAGGTTCGCCGGGGACCCCTTCTTCCCCTTTGCGCCCGATGTGGCCCTGCAGAGACAGGAGACAGCGGAGGCGTCGGCCGTTTGGCGCGAACAAGGACATGAAACGGGTGAAAAGCAGCTGCTTGCCTGCAGGGAAACCCCCAACGCCGGAGCCCGCCGACCACTGTGGGGCCCTGAAACGTGGGGACAGGCACCACGGTGCCATCGTGGAGCTGCCAGGGAAGGGACATGTCCCTTCCCAAGGCTTTTAAAGCACAGGAGCCAGCAAGGAGCCAGTCCCGCGAGGGCAGCGGGGGATGGAGATGGGACAGACCCGCTGGCCCCTCGTTGAGGAGGTTCCCCATGGCCCCAGGCAGGCCCCACTCCCAGGTCTGCTCCAGAGGGCCTGTAGACAAGGAAATCAGGTAAGGCAGCCCAGGGGCTTGGTTTTTAGGGACTCTCATGGGTTCTCCCCCCATATGGTAACTGAGATCGAATTGAGCCGCGCAAGGCTACAACCCATAGCCACAAACCCCTGCCAGCCTTGTCGCACGCTCCTGGGGCCAAGCCTGAGAGCAGCCCGTGCCCTGTTTCTAGCACTGGGGATGAAAAAGCATCACTCCTCCCGCAGTGGGCAGGCACTAAAACAATAACTATCATCGCTGTAGCCGGAAAGCCTGCACCATGCACCACTGCTGGCTCCGCTGGACATCTCACTGGGTGCAAACTTTCCTCTCCTGCACGTAGAGCATCCTGCATGGATCTCCCTCGAAATCTGTCCCGCAGGGGACAGGACCGAGATGGTTCATAGGGTTGGGAGGTGGCAGGAGGGGAAGGAGGTGTGCAGGCACTGGGGACAGATGCTGCTCCCCCATGGCTGCTCTACCGTAACGGCCCAAGGCACCGAACGTGGACGGGTTAACTGCACGAAGGCAGTCATCATCAGCCCCACGGGTTTATGGATGCCTAAACGCTTTCCAGAGGAGCAGGCATTGATGTGATGAATTTAGACATCCTGACCACGGGCTGCTGCTTCTCAGCTACTTTCCAGAGGGAAAAAAGTAAGAGGAGGATTTTTGCAGGTACCTTTTCTCCTTTGTGACCTTTCTGCCCTTCAGGACCAGCTCGTCCTTGAGACCCCTAAAATCCAAAAGGAGAAGGAAAATCCTCCGTAAAGATGCGACAGATGGGTGTCCCCCTGACCTCGCCTTCCTGCTCTTGCCTACGCGATGCACTTTAGGAGTCTCTATGTCGAGGGCCCCCAGTGGGACTTTTGCCCCTCTCCAAACCAGAGCCTGCCAAGCAGGGCCACGGGCAGTGTTTCCCAGGAGCTGGCAGGTGCTGACCACGCGGGAATCATCGCTGACGCCCGAATGAGGCTTTCAGGAGAGATGAAAGATCACAGCAGGCCTTCAGGTCCTCACCATTTGCCCGGGTTTTCCTGGTTTGCCCGGATTCCCTTTCGCACCCATCAGGCCCTAAGCAGAAAAGAAGCCAATACAACTCCAAAAATGGGCTGTCACAGGGGTATTCCCCGAAATCCCAAATCCTTGGCCAGTCTGTTGAGAGCTGCTCAGAACTGGGCTTCAAGGAAAGCTGGAGACCAGGAACAGGACTGAGGGGAGTGGCAGAGAAGCCCCACTCACCTCGATGCCGCTTAATCCTGGTGCTCCAGCCTCGCCTGGTGGCCCGAGAGGACCCTGAATCCATTTAGAGACAAAAAACTTGACATCAGCTCTGGGTTATTTGGGGGAAGGCAGGAGAGTGAGTAAAGAGCTGGTTGCCCTGCCAAGGAATCTGGGCTCTGCCCTAAGCTTTTCTCCTGCCCCGTGCCAAGGGACCTCCACATAGCAGGTCCACACAAGACCCACCAGCTCAGCGCCTCAGCCCCATAAGTCTTCCTTGATGTTGGTGCCTCACTTTCCCTGTCTCTAAAATACCAGTCACTTTGAAGCTGTGATGCTTGATTCACCTTCCGATTCCCCTCTACCCCAGGAGTTTCAGTCCTACAGAGCTGCAAGGTTATTAAAAACAACATTTACAGATTTTTGCTGGGCTAAATGAGATGGTGAGTCATTTCTCCAGTGGCTGGTGATGTAAGGAAATGGGGTTTACACACGGGTTTCAATGAGGTGCGCAAAGCAGGGCTCAAGGCTGCTCCCAGTCCAGGCAGCGTTGCAAACTTGAGCAGGAGTGCTGAGGCCGGAGCAACTCCTTGCTCCGTTACAGGAGCCAAAGTTTCGGAGCTGGGGCAAGGATGCTGAGCATAACCTGGGTGCCAGCATCAGGGCTGCACGGAGGAGGGCCGCCCTGCCGGGAGGTCCCCTCGTCGCCTCCGCGGAGAGCAGGAACGTGACACAAGTTACCTGTCGGCCCAGCTCTCCTTTTGCTCCCACAGCTCCTTTGGCTCCTTCAGGCCCCGAGTAGCCCTTGAATCCAGGGACGCCTCTTCCTCCCCAGGAGCCCGCTGAGCCCTGACGTACCCAGAAAAGAGAGGAAGCTGTTACATGCCCGGCCGGTTTGGCTCCCAAATTCACATCGATTTCTGCAGGGGACTCTGGGACCCAGATGCCCCACTTGGGCCTGGGACTTCATTTCTAGCACAGAGAAAAAGAAAGGCTGGGCTGGAGGGGCACGTGAGAAGCTGCCTAACATCCGGCTCAGGAAGGATCAAGTCTGTTGGCGGCTCATTTGGTGCTGGGTGATAAGGAGATGTGTGTGTGTAGCTAGTGAGGAGAGAGAGAGGCCCAGGGGAACAGCAGGTGCAGCTTCACAGAGGGAGTGAGATGACTCCCTCTTTCTGCTTTGCACATCCTGGCTGCGTTTCTTCCATTTCCTGACTTCACCTAAGCAAAAGGAATCACCTGAGTTAAGGAAATGGTTTTGCCTGGGCGTACGGGCACTATAGCATAGGAAAACTGGGACCCAGACAAGATTTACCCCTCCAGTTGAGGTGCAGAGCATCAGTAACACATTTGCAGCTCCATAAACGTCAGGACCACAACCATAAAACTGGTGCAGCCAGCCAGAGCTTAGGCTGTGATGGGGAGGGGCTGGCAAACCACCACTGCGAGCAGACATCTAACCGGCAGTGGCAAATACTCATGAGAACACACCCTGGGCTAGCAGAACTGCCTTTCCTGGCGAACCTTCACATCTGAATGCCACAAGTGGGTTTGTTGTGCAAAGGCAGGAAATGCACTGGACTTGTGCAAATGCACTGGACTTGTTTCAGGCAACTCCGATAAGTGAGCATTAATTGCACAACTGTCACTTTTTCATATCTTTTTAATAACTATATTAAAACACCTTTAAAGAACTATGGTTCTAAAGAAACCAAGAAAATGATGACTTGGTTGCAAAGGTATTTACCAAAAGTCAATCCTTACAGATATCTTTATGTGGGTCCCGTGTGCCACGCAACGCAGCACCAGGGTCACAAAGCCAGACGCTTTGTCTGGCAGAGACAGCGGAGCGCTCTTCAGGTTTCCCCCAGGCCTCTTCCCATTTGTGATAAATAGCCTCATCTCAAGCAAGGGCAGGCTCTTCTGGCTAATTAATTACAAAACCTTATTAAACTCCTTTTACACTGAAGTACTTACCGCAGGACCAGGTTTGCCTCGGTCCCCCTTTACTCCATCATCTCCTGCAAGTCCCTGCAGCAACATTGAGGATTTAGAAGAAATCCCTCCTCATCATGTCTTTCACACTCATGCTCTTTACAAACATTTTAAGCATCCTCTCCCACACACAAAATTCAGCTGGCGAAGGGGATATCACTTACAATGGGTGCTGTGGGAGCTAGCTCCCTCATCAGTCTCGGACATTATTGCTTTGCCCAGAAGAAACTACCAGCCTTCTTCCTCAGAGGGATGGTCTCCATTAAATCAGTGCCAATAGCAATATTTTTGCTGCGGGTGGCAGTTGATGGGGAGGAGGTAATTACTTCTAGCTGTCCCAAAATGACAGCATTTTCAGTAAATGGGAATTTGTTTCAGACTGAACAGAACAAAGTATCTCACTGGAATTTCATATTTCATTGGAATCTGTGTTTTTTTTCTGCAAATGAGTTTTAGCTGAAAAAATCCTGCTCATTTCTGTCCCTGACAGAGGTGGTAAGCGGCTCTTTGGCTTTACAAGCCTCAGTGAACAGTCTCAGGGTAAAGAGAAGACTTGCGTGTTCATGACTGCTGCTGCTTCTGCTGCACAATAAATGCAAAGGCTCCTTCCAAGTACATTTCCAGGTGATACCCTGGAAACAGAAGTGCTGAGATAGTGGGAACGGATTCTTCAAAAGGGATGCCTGATTGAAGTGGTCTGATTCTCGGGGCAGGGGCATAGCACATCCTGGAATTCAGTGCCAATATTTGAGAAATTAAAAATCTCTCCTTTCCTCTGAAACCCATGCCCTGAATTTCTTTCAGGGGCAAGAAATCCCTTGATTTCAGTTTCTCTTGGAAATGGTAAAGCACTGGTGAGGCCTGTGACAGCTCCCAGGACACTGGTACCTCTAATCCGGCAACACCAGCAGGTCCGTCCATGCCCCGTGGCCCTGGATCTCCCTGGGGAAGCAATAGAAACGAGTCCAGCTCTGTCCTCCGGATCCCAAGCCATCACAACCCTTCGATGCTGAGAAACCCTTTCCTGACCTTGCTGAACCTAGCCCTCAGGAGGTAGGGACCATCCCCCGTCCCGTCCCCCCAGGTCACCAGCCTGCCATGTGTGCAGGACAGGGACCAGCTTCTCCTGCACAGCATGCCATGCTCGATATGGCTGGTGAGAAGCAGCTTGAGCACCAAGTCCCCCACTACAACACAGCTCCCCTTCAGCCAAGGCTAGAAACCAGAGCTTGGGAAAAGAGTAGGAGAGAGGGGAGAATCTCTTATCTGCAAACCCAAAGGACTTCACTGACTCTCTCCATCAGAGGAGGACACCCCTTATTGCAAGGGGATCCGTGGGTTCAAGCACCCTGGCAGGAGATGCTTTTAGTGCCCAAACCACAGATAACTCCTCATTGCCTTCTGAAAAGCGCTCCTTGCTAAATTCACTCTCACAGTAGAAGGGCATTTCATCAAGGGCTCGAGCAATCACACCTCAGTACCTTCACTCCCTCGGGACCACTGAGCCCAGGAGGACCTCGGAGACCTGTTCCACCCTGTTCAGGGTACAAGAAGAGGAGTCTCACTGACACAACCAAGTCAGGCTTCAGCCACAGCCGGGCATCGAGTAACCCCACATGCCCTTAGCCCTCTCTCCCAGGGCTGCAACCCACCAGAAAGGCAGGAGGAATACAAGTGGACTTACAAACTGTCCTCTGGCTCCAGCAGGTCCTGCACCGCCAATAACACCAGCCTGGCCCTGGGACAGAGAGGGAGTAATGCTCAGTGGAGTCCTGGCACAGCCAGGTGAAATGAGGCTTGAGTTTGGCCAAATCGAGCATTAACCCAGGCTGCCCAGCAAAATGGGCTGGAGGTAGATTTCTTCAGGTCAGTAACCCCAAGAAGACAAAATCAGCACATTCACAGGAAAGCTGTTCATACATCAACACAACAGGCAGTGCCAGTTCTCTCCATCCAGGGACTACAGGCACACAGGGAAAACAAAACTCAAACCACTAAACCCCATAAAAACCAGTGGCAGGAGAGGAGATCTGAGGTTGGACTAGTTCTCCCAATATTCAGGAAACACGTGGAGCTACAGGTAGATCAGGCTCCTCACAGCCAGGTTGCACTGAGATCTCAGAGATACTAAACTCCAGCTTTGAGATAAATGCAAAAGCCCATAAAGAAAGATTTTTCTTACTGGGTCAGATAAAAATCTCCACACATAAAGCTGGATTCTTTCTGTAAACGGACTGTTTTTCTGCCCAAATATCCACGCACAGGGAGATGCTCTGAAGTATGTCCTTTTGTGTCAACTAGAATCAAATTTGATGACATGCCCATGAGCCACAAAACTTCCTGATTACAGAGATTTTCCTATTTCTAGTATTTTCTATAGCTCCTGGAGCCCAACATTTCCTGCTGGGTTAAGTCCCACTCCTAATCCCTCTGCAAGAGAACTGCCAGCCTGGGGGAAATGCTGAGATCCCTGTGAGTTTTGAAGGATTCCCTCTCTGTACTTGCCAGCAAACCTTCTTGGCCCTTCTCTCCTTTATGTCCTTTTCTTCCAATGTCCCCCATAACAGCTCCTTGTCCAGGCACTCCAGGAAGGCCCCTAGGGCCAGTGTCTCCCTGGCCAGGAATGGAGATACAGATGTCAGCACAAAGAGGAAAAAGGAATAGCAATTAAATGAGCTTCTGCATTAAGACGACATGTTTCAGAAATCTCACTGGATGCCACGGACATGAGACCTTCACTCTACAGCACTCACAGGAGAGATTTTAATGCCAGGTCTAATGGGGCTGCAGCCCCCAAAATCTCAAGGGGCTTTCAGCCACCTAACATGTCATAGTGATATCCCTGCCCTGCTTTTACCCCCTCCATGACAAACTAAGAAAAGGAGGCCGAGCAGACTACAAGTTGTCCCAAGGTGCTGGAAAGAAACACGGGGAAGAGACACCTCTTACCTTTTCTCCCTGGGGTCCTGGCTCGCCTGGGTCTCCAGCGTCACCAACATCACCCTGCCAGAGAAAACGGAGACGAAATATCAGTGTCAGATGCAAAGCCCTGTTCCAGTCAGGTATATTTGAAGCTTGGTCAGTCATTTAAAAGTCAGCCATTTGACTTCCATGGACTTTACTATCCTCCTCTGGCTGGGATTTCATTTCTGGGTAAAATGCTGCAGCTCCTGCAAAGTTGTCAGGTCTACCAGGTGAATGAATGAACCATGAGATTACTTGCAGCTATGACCCAATAGCAAACAAGGATCAAATAACTAGCACATTCAAGCATCTTCCCCTATAAGAAGGAGATCCTAAAGCTTGTCCGCAGCAGAGCTGCAGGATGTACAGGCTGCTCAGAGGTAACACCTTTCCCCTCCCCATGCTGACCCCCAAGGGCTGGCAGAGCGCAGCATGGGCGCTGAGGAAGCCGGTGAGCAACAGCGACTACCATGGTGTCAGCCAGTGCATGTACCTCCTTTCCTTGCTCCCCAGGTCTCCCAGGTGGCCCCTTTGGCCCATCGTCCCCTTGTTCCCCAGGAACACCTTTGATGCCTAGAGCTCCGGGGACTCCTGCCTCTCCCTGGAAAGGAAAAAGACCACCAGTGTTATTCTTGGCTGACTTTTCCTGGGTCAGCCCTTACTGCACATCCATCATTTCTCACCATACGGTCCCTCCTGGTTTTCCTTGTACCAGGTATCAAAGCCTTGAGGGGTTCCTGGCCCTCCACACCATGCCTAGGAACATAAATCCCCAAGCACGGGCATGTTGGGGGACAATTTAAAAAAGCCCCATATGGATTTAGGTGCCACCTGCACTCAAAGTTGATGAGAATTAAGCACCAAAATCTCTTTAGTGAACATGAAAATCTCCCAGAAGGGCTGTGCCAGCAGTGACAGATGAGGACAGCACAGAGGCGCCTGGCTGCAGAGAGGCCACGGAAACCCTGTGCGCCCACTCACATCTCTGCAGAAGGCCCAGGGAAGGCGGCAGGGCCAGGCAAGCCCACTGCTGCCAGCGAGCACAGTGCGACGTGCCTATCACCCTCAGCTGGAACTGACCTGCTCGCCTTTGGGTCCTGGTTGACCCTCCACTCCCAGCAGCCCTGGTAGTCCCTGTAGGAGAAAATACACATCCCATTACTTCTATGGGTTATCCCCACCAACCAGCATGTGTAGGGCTCTGTGACATCAACATCAAGACACCACTTCAGTGAGGCCAGCCTGGGAAGTCCCCATGCATTGATGTCTCCCCTCATTAGACTTTCCAATGACATTTCTCCTTGGGAGATTGCTGGCTCCCATCTTCCCATCCCATCAAAGCCTACGCTTTGATTTGCCCCTATTGCACAAAGCCTTCAAATCAGCTAATGAGGACAGAACTTTGACCTTCTAGTTCAGTTAAGGATCGGCAACCCTTTCCCTTCCCCAAGGACAGCACCTCAGGAGAAGCAAGCTGGAGCAGCCCAGGAGAAGGAGGGCCAGGTTTTCTGAGTTGACGTACCTGCTCTCCATCCAGTCCCCTGATGCCAGCATCCCCAGGATCGCCCACATCACCCTGGGAGAGGAAACAAGGACATAGAATGAGCAGCTGTGGCTGTCCTCAGTGCAGGTCCCTGCAGGGAGCCCCACTGCCCCAGCCCTTGCGATGTCGGCAAAACATTGCTACCAGGAGAGCTTGCAAGGCTCTTCTCCCACATTGCGTCAAGCTCATAAATCTCCATCACTCAAGATAAAGCAAGTGGTAAAATTGGGAGGTGTGCTTCACCTTCAACCCCCAGGCAAGTTTCTTAAGAATTCTCACACATCCTTCTTCTCCACCTTGAAGAGAGCAGTTTGGGAAAGCCTGTGTTCAGTATGGCTACGGGTCACCCTGAGTTGGGTCATTGCTCCAGAGGTACGGGGAGAAGGTGATGCCCAAGTGGGAAAGCCAGCCTGTTGCAGCAGCTCAGCACTGCAAGCTCCCCGCACACGGAAGAGTCGGGGAGAGGTCAAAGATTGTTTCAAGTGTCATGGGAACAAGGTCCTAGTGCCACAGCTCACCGTGGTCCAAGCAGTGACCCATAGGCCAAATTTGGTTCCTAGCTCCCCTCCTCACAAAGCAACGGAGACCAGTTGAATGTAGGAGGAAAATACCCTTTCACACAAGGAGAGCAATCTTATGAAGCTTTGCCCAGTGTGAACTGCACACATGGATGGCAAGGGGTACCAAAATACCTCTTTTCTTACCTTCTCTCCTTTCCTCCCCAAAGGCCCTTCAGGTCCACCTGGACCGTCCCGGCCCTGAAAACAAAAAGCCCATTTCAACAGCGAGGCATTACAGCAATTTAGGAGGCACTTGCACCTCCCAAGTTTGGATGGCAAGTGGACAAGAGAGCCCAGCACACTGCAGCTCCAGTGGCACATGAGCCACTTGCCAGCTTGTCAAGTCTCTTGTACCAGTTTCCCTCTTCCTTCCCTTTTTGCAGGTGCTTTTGGGAGCTCCTACTGTCTGACACACGCCAGCAAGAGCCCTTGCAATCTGTCCTACTGGCAGAGAGTAAAAGGATGAGGCAGGTTATGGCAAAGGAGCTGAACAATCAGACTTGAAAGCAAGTAAGGGAGCCTTGGGAGGCTCCATATTCAAGCTGGAAGGGGCCAGTTACAGTGGCTGGGCACAGATACCGTAAAGGCGACTCTCAGCGAAAGCCTTGCCTAAGTCATCGATGAAGTGGAAGAGAGCGCAGCGAATGCACTGCAAAGACTGGGAGCTAAGAGGAACCATAGAAACCTCATCCCAAGGTTGTTATGGAGAATGGAGTGGCCAGCAAGGTGGTGCGTTACAATGAGCAGACTGAACATACCCTGTGCACACTGTCCAGCATCAGGGCAGACAGAGCCCTTAGGTTATGCCAGCCCAACTCCCAGCTCCCCAAGAGCCCCCAAGTAACAACCTTCCTTGCTCAACTGCAAGTATTGAATGTTGTGTCAAACATGAATCAAAGCAGCCCCATCTGCACTTACCGGGTACCCAGGCAGGCCAGTAGCCCCACTCCGCCCAGGAGCCCCAGTTTCTCCTGCCAAACCAGGCTTCCCAGGGATGCCGTCCAGTCCTTGCATGCCAGGAACTCCCTGCAAGAACAAAAGGCCATTTAGGCATCCTGAATGCAGGGAGTGGTGCAGCTCCTCTCTCTCTGGGGAGAGCAATGGAGCGCAGGGGGGAAGAGTGAAACCCCACATCTGAAGCAATCTGGCCACCATGCAGTTTATAATGGCACCATCTGTGCCTGTTGGGGTACTGGTGACTCTGTCAAGCAGAGACCACTGAGGGTGCAGGAGGACAGTGTGGTCCCCACACCCATCCTGTCATCACCTGGCTTCCCGTGCAGGGTTCGGGCCTTATTCTGCCCCTTTACTGAGCCTCATGGCCAGCCCAGCAATGGAATTGCCGCCAGAATGGGCGCCTATGTTATATCACGTTGGATGTTGCATAACTTGAGCCTATAGAGCATCTCTACAAGCCACAGCTCTTCCACTTACAGGCAGCCCTGGAAGTCCTTGAGGACCTGGGTCTCCTGGTCTTCCCTGAAACAAGACAGGTTTTCAACAGTGCGGTCACAGTGGGGAGGGGAGATGGTACTGGGGACTCAGAGCAGGGTGAAGAGGACCTGGCTTTGCTCAAACAAACCCCCTGCACCCGGGCCACCTCCAAGAGGTCCATGCAGCGAAGTCCAGCAGGACAAAACAGCAGGCAATGAGGGGGGACCCAGGGTCCTGCCTGCTCCCACCATTATCACCACAGGTAGCACAAACTCTACCACACAGCTGGGGGAGACCCACAGTGGAAGGAACATGTCTACAGCGTTGGAACCTACCTGGGAGCCGGGAGGACCTCTTGGGCCAGGGGGGCCTGGCAGGGCCTGGAGAAGGGAGAGACACGTCAGACCCACATGCTGCATCCCTCCTCCACTAACGCCAGGAGTGAGGCTCTGCCTTGAAACACAGAAGCCCCAACCACCCTCTCCTGGATGAGCACTGCCCCTGCCCACTGCCCCCAGAGCCACCATTTTGGGTGCTGGGAGACCCCAGCCCACACTGCAGGTCACCTCATGAGGGCAGCAGATCCCCTTTCCCCTCTACCAGTTGAGGTGGCAGGAAAGATTTCCCATTTTACCTCATCCAGCTCAGCAAAAGCTGATTTGCTCAGTGCTGGCTACTGGGGAGTTCAGAGCTGCCCACAGACAGCCAGGAAGCAGCACTCACCTTGGGACCAGCTTTTCCTGGGAATCCTGGCAGGCCTTGGGCTCCAGCTTCTCCCTGGTAGGAGGCAAGACAGATTTCCCTTCTGCTGTACCTTCTGCTGCAATAACCTCGTAAGGGTAAAAATAGCAGCCCTGTGTCTTAAGAAGAGTGTGAGTTTGGGGAGTTGAACAGCTCGGGACCAGCTTGTTTGCCCCACGTCAGAGCTGGCTGCAGACACGCTCCTCGTGGCCCACAGCAAGCAAGGGCTGGCTCACTGTGCCCCTGCAGACCTCCCTGGCATGGGCATGGGGCAGCACAGCTGATGGAGACTGCCCTGAGATAACACCTGAAATGCCTCACCACTCAGCTCAATATCCAAACCCTAAACCTGCACATTTCTGAACTCTGGCAGAGGCCAAATGCAGCTTGGGCTGCAGCAAGGAGCCAGGGCTGCTTTGCAGATAACACAGGCTGAGTGTCTGCTATTTCCAGCTACATTTCTCTTAAGACTTTTTCTCATAACAGCATTAAAGAAAACAGAAACAAACTTGTTCTGTACAGCCTCTGAAATCCCCCCCTCTCTAAGCCAGAAGACTAATGCAGAGGGGCAGAAAAAAGAAGCCCTAACAGCCAGTCGTCGCAAGAAGAGCTGCAGAGCACGTCCTGCCACAGAGACTCGTACCCAGCAGCACGGTCCCTCCTCCCTGGCTCTGGTGCAGCTCAGTGCTCTGCAGCACAACCCACCACCCAGTAGCAAGCAGAAATCTCTTCACTGGTTGCCCTGAGCTGCTTTTCTTGCTGGGTTCCCCAGTCCTACCTTTTCTCCCCTGGGTCCTGGCTTCCCTCTGTCACCAACAGGTCCTGGGTAACCCTGGGGAGCGCACCGTGTTAGTAGGTCAGCAGAGACACACATGGTACATCCAGCTTATGGGATAAGGTGACTGTTGAGGTTCAGCTCTTGCCAGGGGAAAGGCAAGAGTTGTCCCGGGGATCAGCGCTTCACAGACTCAGTTTCTTTGGCTCTGTCCCAGATTATCATTCTTATCCAAAATTAATCTTATTTCATCTTACATGGAAAGGTCTAGTGACCACAAGGATTTCCCTCTCCTCAGCAATACGAAACCTAGCTCATGTCCCCTCTCCTCGGCCTCCACACCATCTCCATTGAGGCAGGAGGATTTGGCGAGTGGGTGCATGTGGCCCAGGGAAGTGTGCTGGGGCTTCAGGCCATGCTGGTAGAGCAGCTTAGCTTCAGACACCACCTTTGGCCAGCCCCCGTGCAGATCTACTGCCCGGGGCCAGAGTCAGCCCTGCCATCCCCAGAGAGATGCACCACGATTGGATCAGATATGTTGGCCCGAAATGCTGTGCTCATCCCAGCTGGAGCTGGGAGACAGCTCGGGCAGCCAGAGCTGCCAAGCTGGGCTGGGACTGGGCACTGCAGAAGCCCTGACAGGACCATGAGTGCCCTGGCTGAGATATCTGTATTTGCACAAGCCTCTCCACCTCTCCCCAGCACTCAGGCAGGCTGCACTGTCCCTCACTAAGTGGGCATGCCTATCACTTACATACATGCCGACAGGTCCTTGTGGTCCTTCCAAGCCAGGCTTTCCAGATAGTCCCTGCAAGAAAAGACGAGCACTAATGTACCTCTGCTCCAGGGACATGGATATTCTGTTCAACCTGGGCTCTAATGGAAATTATAGGGGCACCAGGGTAGAGACCTGGCCTGGTTTGACGCATGCAGCTGGAGGAACCATGCATGAGGAACCAGTTCCATGTGATGCTGCCTGGGCTGTGGATGGAAAATCGCTGATGATCAGCTGAGATAGGGGCTGTACGGGAAACATACGGGCTGCTCATGCGTGGGCACTGACAGCAGGCCTTGGCTCCCCAGATTCTGATCCAGATCGGTGGGATTCACCCCAGGCTTCCATGAAAAGCCTCATCATGTCCACTGAGGGCCGCTCAGGGATGTCTGCCACCACCAGGTGCCTCAGGGACGTCTGCCACCACCAGGAGCTCCAGTCAGCCTCCCCGACATGTTCTCAGCCCCCCTTACTCCCTGCTCTCACCTTCGCACCCAGGGAGCCTGGGTCTCCATCAGCTCCTGGTCTTCCCAGAGGGCCCTTCAGAAATGTTTGAAGAGGAGATATCGATCAAAAGGCTGTGATGAGAAAAGGCCTACCGAGCCACTGCTGGGACCTCTGTGCTCAATGACAGGCATCGCCTGGTCCAAACTGGGTTGTTACAGACAAATTCTGCCGCTATAGCCAGCCCCGGCAACACCTGCGCGTAGCCGGGTCTCAGGCAGGGTTGTCACTGGTCACGGTGACAATATGGGCAAATAATTAATAGCTAACAGAGCATTTGGGGCCTGACAGCTTGTGTGATGGGACAGGGCAGCCTTGGGCCAGCTCATGCAGCCCAGATGGCTCATGACAATCTGAAATTTGGGGGAGCGTGGCCCCAGGATTTGTAGCTATTTGCCAAGTCCCGTATGAGGCCAGCCGATGGCCACCTCTCAGACAGAAGACCTTCAGGCGGCTCCTATCTGCTGCTCCAGCTCCCTGCAAGCTGCAGTCTTTATTCCTGCTAGGACACCAGCCCCGTACGATAGTCAGCACCCTGCCTGGAGACTCGTTGACTTATCACAGCTCTGCAGTCTAAGTAAATGGAGAGTTAATGCAAAATGAAGGTTTTTCTTACTATTGGCCCAGGGAGTCCATCGTGGCCTCTGTCCCCCTGTGAGCCAGCAAAACCCTGGAAGAGAGGGCAGCAGATCAGGAGTGCAGGGATGGGAGCAGGTAGGGGAAGTGTAGTGGGACAACAGTCAACGGGAGGAAGAAGGAGAGCAAAGGCAGAGCTATTAGGGAGGCGAGAGGCTCACTGCTGTCAGGAGCCAGTCAGAAACCAACCCAAAACAGAGCAGAGCATCATGGCTAAGTCCAAAGAGGCTCTGGCCTCTGGTCATGGCTCTGGCCTCCTGAATGCAATACTAGCATTTTCCACTTCAAACTGACTCTTTGATTTCTTGTTGTTGCAGCACATCAGCTGTGTGCATACATGTATACAACACCCACACGCACACCTAGAGAGCTGAGCACTGTGCAATACTAACAGCAAAATCAGAGACCATTTTTTGGCCCAGAACAGAACATTTTCTGTTTTGAGGGAAATGCCAGCTTTGTTTGTTTGTTCCACTTCAGAGCAAAAATAAACAAATACTAGAAATCCCGCAAAAGGGAAAACTTGCTGCCAGCCCAGGTCTTGCTGATGGGGCCTGTTTTGGAGAGCAGCACCACTGACGAGCATCTCAAAGGGAGAGAACAGAGTGGAATGGGCTGTGGAGGGAGAACAGAGGGGAGGAAGGCTTGAAACAGCGGTGGGGATGGGGGGAGGCAAGCAGAATCCAGGAGAAGGGGGTGATCTCTCCAGCACACTGGTCATGCCTTGTGTCACCCACCCTGGGGCATAACCTGTTGATAATCAAGCCTACAAAATCAACCCGTGACACCAGGAAGACCCAAAGCCAGCAGGATCTTGGCAACAACTGAGGGAGAAGTTGGCCAAGAACCTTCCTTCTGTCCTGTCCCAGCAATGCAAAGGGGAGCACCACTGAAAGGCAAAGCTGGGTCTCGGCTCAGAGGGGTTTTCTGTGATCACGCCACCTCCACCTTGGGAAAGGGGAAGATTCAAGACAGACACACATGCAGCTCTACTCACAGGTGATCCCCTTCTTCCTGGGCTGCCCACAGCCCCTGGGAGACCCTGCAGGATAAGGCAGGCAGATGGTAAGGATCAGGAGGAAGATCCAGTCTTTCCCAGTCCCATCCCAAATCTAGGGCTACAACTACAGATGTGCAGGGAAGGCACAGGAGTGGGGATCTCGCCTAACTCCACCCAGCTAGCACATAGCAAGCTCCAGCTGAGCTAGATGCCCCCCACTTATGAATCAGTGGAGAGAAAGAGTCCATCTCATCCCAGACAGATTATGTTCTTGAAGTCCCCCATCATGCGGAGGTGGCTTCGACCTGAATGGCCGGGGCCCAGGTTTGGAAGTCCCCACAGCACGGAAGAGCATCCAAGCCCGGCTCAGATAACCACCTCTCCAAAGCCAGCACCACAGTCATGCTGCGTTACAGGGCAGCCTGTATAACATGCAGCTTTCGCCTGCAATCCCGACCCTCGTACAATGCACCAACGTTTAAGTATATAGTATAGAATGGGAACCTGTGTACCAGGCTTTCCTTCTGGGCCTTCTGCTCCCGGTGCACCTCGCAAGCCCTGGAAGCAGATTGTCATCTGAGGTAAGAAGAGTGCAAACTGACACAACACAACAACTTTTGAGCCACCACGCTTGCTCAGACCACGGGCTCATCTAGCCCAGGAGCCTGTCTTTGACAGTAGCCAAAAGCAAGTATTGCTGCAAGTATTAAAAGGTGGCAAATATAAAGTGATATAGTCCCTAACGTGCTCTTCTAGTCTGTAGGAGCATCAGGGGCTTTCTGAACCAATGGCGGTTCCTTGGTACTGAATAGCCCTTGACGGATTTCTCTTCCACAGACTTGTGCACTTGCCTTTGGAGCCCATGTAAACCTTAGTGTCCATAACACCCTGCAGCTAGGGGATCCGTGGCTTAGTTAAACATTGCCCCTTGGTCAGGTCGAATCTGGCATTTCAAGTTTCTAGCTCTTGCACTGGAAGAGACAGGCTCTCGGGGACGAATTTAGAGCACACAGGAAGGGCAACCACAAAAGCAAGGACGTGCAAACATTGTCACAAGAGTAATTTAACTATAGCAGAGCGGAAGACTTTTGCACAAAGCATATTTGTTTGCTGCACGTGCATTAATCTGAAAAGTAGGGAAGGATGGATGCAACCAGAGCTGCTCCTGTCTTGTGACCCTCTTCCCGTGCCCTTTGCCTGTTTATTGGCCCTTTGCATGTTGCTGAGATCTTCTCACACAGGTTGGCTGCAGCAGGGACCAGCTGGCTGGCCGCACAGTGCCTCACCAAGTGGGGCCTTGAACCCAAACCCAAGGCTCACAGGTGTCAACGCACGAGAAATTATAAATGGCACTTGCAAAACACCAGTCCCAAAACATGCCAGGGAAGGTCTGTGCGCAGAAGAGCAGCCGGTTTGTTAGCATGCGTCTTGTCTCCTAACTGTGCCCCCGCTTGGCACCTTTCGCAAACAGCTTCTCCCCGCTCTTTCCCACCTTCGCTATCAAACACTGTCGCTGGGAAATAAAATGAGGGTGGGTGGAAACCGTTCTCACTGCACTGACAAGTCTACTGAGCACCTCTACAGTATTTTTTCCTGTCATCTCCACTTACCCCAGCTATTAATTCTATCTCCTTTGCCAAGCGTAATTCTGGATAATGAAAATTTCTAGAGGAAGTTGTTCATAAGAGACTTTAATTTCCTGAATTTTCTGTGCCCAGAGTAAGAATTTAATTGTAGCGTTTGGCAGGCGATTTGTTGAAAACTATGTGCGATGTTCAAAAGCTTGAGATGCCCATATCCAACTTACTCTGTAGAATTTCCAAATGGAGCCTGACTCTCCGATACACTCACGTCCTGGGATGCATCACAACACTTCCCAAGAGCTCGCTTCCCCCTCCTCTAAGCAAAGAAAGCATGACGCACAAGCATCGTAGACTGAATGGAGATCGTCTCTTACTTACTGGCAGGCCAGGGACTCCAACCAGCCCACGCTGCCCCATGCGGCCCTGCAAGAAAGCAAGTATTAAGAAAAGCATCTTTCTATCAGTAGTAAAGCTGCATACTTAGAGGCCTTCCTGCAAACACAGCTGACGTCAGGAAAGATTGCTGCAAGCGGTAAGTGTTGGAGGCCTTTAAATACGCAGATCTGGTTCGGCTTCAGTGCAGATGGGGAGTTTATCTAAAGTGTCCTCTCCCGTGGCACTCTCACCTTGTGGCTGCCCTTGGCAACGGGGACACCAGACAAGGAGAGGAAGGGTCTCTAGATCTTTGAAGCCATTCCACACCTCCTGGGCAGATGCCTGGCCACGGCTGCCCACATGCTCCCTCCCTGGCCACACTCCCATTGCATATATCGTGCTGCCCCATGATGGGCATTCAGGGTTGCTTTCATCTCGAAGACCTAAGACGCTCCAAGATTCAGCTAAAAGTAACAAATAACTCCACGAGTTACCCTCGTTCCTCTCGGTCCTGGAGTTCCCTTTAGGCCATCAGGTCCTCTGCTTCCCTAAAAGTCACACAGAGGAAAATCCAGTCATTTTAGGCATCCCTGAGAGTCTCGCTGGCCCCTTCACCGAGGTGAGTTGTTATGATCTCCAAAGGGGGCTCACCCAGAAGCCACTGGGCTCAACACATCTGAGCTTGGCTCAGCAGCCTTTGAGGCCACGAGGCCAGGGTGGGTGGTGGGGGCAGAGCCCTGCTGCTCCTGGAGGGGGATTACCCAGCAGGCAGGGGCTCACAGGTTGCCGGGATGCCCACCAGAGCTCGGCACAGCATGGCCTCCTCCCTGCCCCTAAAATGCAAGGGCAAGGGCACCCGGAAGGGTTTCGCAGCAGCATCAGGAGATGGGGGCACACAGCGAATGCCTGGGCTGACCTTAGGTCCTTCGCTGCTATTGAGACCCGGCGGGCCGATCTGGCCTTCTTCCCCCTGGGAGGAGAGAGGAGAGGAGAATCAGCTAGAACTGCGCAGCACAGAGAAAATTCAGCGTCTCACCCCTTCGGGAGCCCAATTAGACCGCTGCCCTTTGTGCACGCTGGGTATTGCTGCACAGCATCCCCAGCGCAGCGGGGCAACAGCACCCCGCTCACCCCCTCAGGCCCATCACCTCTCTGCAGCAAGGGCTGCTCGTCCAACTCACGAACAGGGATGAAATTGAAAATTTTTGTTTCCTGCTGCTCAAATTAAGAGCTGTTTAAGGGGCTGAGGATCCTGTCTGTTCAAATATAGCCCTAGCGTGGCATGGGCAGCCCGCACGCCTGGCTCCTGGCTGGGGCCGGTCAGCCGAGCACACGCAGCTGCTATCTGCAAATCAGTGCTGCTTGGAGAGGTGGAAAAGGCACCATGTGGCAGTGAGATGAGTCGTGCTGCATTTCCAGCTCTTGGAGAGGTGGGAGGTTTCATTTGTCAGCTTGAGGAGTGAATGTGAGAGCAGCTCCAAGCAGGCATCCCAAAACCCTTCTAAGGGGGATGGCATCCCATGCAGAGGGACACCACACACCAGAAAAGTGGGAGGTGGGTAGGAAAATACAGTCTCCTCTCCTTCTCCTCAGAAGCTAGAAACTTCTAGAGATAAGTGGTCAGCGAGGATTCAGTTCCCAGGTAGAAATATTGATCCATAGCTGGGTTTGTCCATCCTGACAGCTCACTCTGAGTGTGCACTGCAGAAACAAACACTCTAAAAATTGTGCCTGTTTTCTCTGTCTCCTTGAGCATTGCCCTGTTTGGATCGCAGTATTGGGGAGGGTAGCGGTCAGGCAGTATAAGTGAACAGGAGCAGGACAGCAGGGCAGCGGGCACTGGGTTTGAGCTGGCTGAGCAACTGCAGTCCTCCACAATTGTTAGCAAAAGCTCCAGGAGGCAGGGAGCCCAGCAGGAGTCTGAGATGATCAGTTCAAAAGAGCAATTTTTTTAAAGCCCTGCAGTCTCAAAATACCTGCAAAGCAGTGAACAGCACTGATCTGAAGGAGAGCCTCAGCATGAGCCCTGCAAGAACATTATGGCAGCGAAAATTGCAGAAAGCTGCCCTCGACCATGCTGGAAATCCAACCACACGCCTCCTTTTCGGGGGCAGCACCTGCCCAAAGCTGCTCTCTCACTGCATCACTGAACCAGCTAATTTTGGGTCATTGATGGGGGCAGTGGCCAGAGGAAACTGGAGCAGTGGGGCCAGAATTCCCCGCTGGTGCAAAGTGCAGCAGCTCTGAGGGTACCCATGACACTACGCCCATTGCCACGGAGAGCCTGGCCCTTCTGCCTGCTCTGCCAGGTGACGCCAAAGCTGCTCTGCCAACAGAGCAGATGTTTTCTGTGCTGCGTTTCACCTCTCCGGAGAAGGCCCTCAGCTTCGGCATGAACCTCCCTGCAGGAAGATGCAACCTGGCCAGAAGCACATCATGGGACGTGCTCACCTTTTCAGTTTCTATTAATGCCTGCTCCATAGGTTACGAGGGAGGCAGCTCGTAAAGCTCTTTCTGCGTTTCTCCGAGGACAGACAGCTTAGAGCAGAGGTGGGGATTCACTGCTCCGAAGTTCACCGAGGCCAAGCACCATTTGCAGGCATTGTAAAACACGGGAACAGCGGCATACATGCAGTAAGGAGGCAGATGCCGTTAGAGGGCTCCCTTACCCTGCATGAGCTCCCACGGCCGGTGACAGATGGACTAGGTGCATAGAAATACCAGTACAGCTGGCTGAGGAAGAACTGGTGAACATGGGCTTTTGGCTGGGGAGAGCCCAATGCTTTCAGCCCATGGGAGGGGAAAAGGCAGTGCAGGGCGGCAGAGAGGCCAAGGGGGTTAGGGGCTGTGGGATAGGACCCAGGATTATGTGGTAGGCGAGAGGGCAGGCAGTGGGGGGTACTGGGACTGGGGACAGGGATAGAGCAGTGCGGGCAAAAGGAACAGAGGGGAAAACTAGGTGACACCTATGCAGCACTTCTGCACCCTCTGCTCAGCACGCTGACCCCTGGTTTAGCCCAATGCAGGATCAGGGTCTGTAGGGCATGCCTGAATCACTTCCTTGAATTCCCACCTCCTCCTTCCTGACGATGCTTTCAGTCCCCACTGGCACTGCAGCGCAGGGAGCGGGGGCTCTTCTTAACCTAACAACCTCTCCCTCCCCCGACCTTAGCAGAGCTGGAGGTCCGCTCAGCCACTAATGACCTGAAGCCCCAACGTAGGCTTCTGCAGGAATCGGCACAAAAAGGGAAAAGCACAGTAAACCGCAAGAGTTGGATGTGATGAAGAAAGTTAAGGAAGATTTCGTGCATCGCATGTCAGCTGCATGCTCCCAGCTGCCGTGGCTGCAATGCAGCATCTCTCCGGGGACTGGGCAGCACAGAGAGGACAGATCGTGGCAGGGACAGCGCAGCGGGGATGGTGCAGCAGTGATGCCCACGCTCACTGTAGCCCCCTCAGAACTGTCCCCTCCCTGCACCATCCACCTCACCATGTGACACAGAGCACACGCGTGTCCCATCACAGGACACCCTCTGCTGCGGCATCCCAGACACAGCAGACTGGACACAGTGCTCTGCCTCACCTCTGGTCCCTGGGGCCCAGCCGCTCCTCGGGGGCCTGGAAAGCCTTGCAAACCGATTTGACCACGGATTCCTGGGAGCCCTTTCTCTCCTTGGGGTCCACATGTACCCTAGAAAGAACAAAACATGGCATGTCACAGTAGGGCTTGCAACATCTCCTCTTGCAGGAACTATGAACATGAGGGACAACTGATGCCAGGGATGCCAGCCCAGCTCCCGCTGGAAGCTGGGAAGCAACTCCCTCTCTGTAGGGCCCATCATGCACTGCCCTCAGTCTCTGCATGGGGCATTTGGTCACTCTTGGTCATCACTGAACAACCCACCTCTGAAAGCATCCATCCTGAGTCAAGAACGGAGCAGCATAAGTTTTTAAAACAGCAAAACCGAGACAGAATAGGAAAGGGTAGAAACAGGATGGCTGACAGGGCACAAGCTTGATGTGAGCATGTACAGTCTGAACTATTTGCTTTTCCCCGCTCCAAAAGGCAAATATTTCTGTGTGTCTTAACTAACACTTCAGTTTCCACAACAACTCATCCAAGCAACATATGCTGGCTGGAAAAACGGCATATTTGAACAGTAAAAGAGAAAGCAGCAGCTAGAGGAATCCCCCCTTCAAAGCCAGCACCTGCATATATCATACCTTGTCTCCTTTGGTTCCCAAGTCTCCTTTTGCTCCACTTGGACCTTCACAACCCTGTAAGAGCAGCAAAGACCACCTATTCGACTGTCAATAAGTCCAAACATAGTAAACACCATGAAGCTTGCAGCCTTTCCTGGTGGTTCAGGCAGCTCTAATGCAGCTCTCCTGCACCCCCGAGCCCCAGAAATGGTTTGTGTGCCACAGGTGCCATGACTCACCCGCTCTCCTTGGATGCCTTTCGAACCTGGCAGGCCAATAAATCCCTTCAAGGAGAGAGACACAAAAAGCAAGTTAAAACACAGAACAAAACAACATGCGCACTTGCAGAGACTTACAAACCTCTCATGCTAAAAGGACAGGAATAATATAAATAAATATGGGACACCCGTTTAATTCTGTAGAGTCATTGCTGTGACTCCACAACCGGGATTTACTCCCCCGGAGGGATCAGGTGCTTTAGCCTTGTCTCTCCTGCAAGTATCAGCTTTTCAGCTCTGCGCATCAGGGTGTGAATACACAAGAAGCAAATGCCCCAAGGGATCACTTAGCACCAAGACATCATCTGAGCATGGTCCAGAAGTGCAACCTGAGCAGTTACTAGGCAGGATGCTAACAGCGGCTGTGTTCATCTGGGAGGTTGAAGGGATACAGGTCTGGCTGCCCCCAGGCCACTTCACCCTTCGGAAAAAGGCAGCTCAGCACCCAAACTGCTTGGGAAAACCTAATTGTGCGCCAAGGGCGGGAGGTGCTGACAGAACAGGGATGCGGGCATCTCTGCTAGAAAATCAATATGAAAAATAAATCTCCTGGCAACCAGCAGAGTCAGATGGCCCTTCTCAGAGCTGCAGAGCTCTGGAGGCAATGAGCACAGCCATAGCGACGCAATGGGCTGATGGGAGCTTGGGTCGCCTGTGCTAGAAGTGACACGTACAGCCGTAACAGCAGCATAGGGTCTCCAGCCCTGTATTGCCCCTGTGACACGGGGTTTTAGAGAAGCAGGCAAGGACAGAGCACTCCGTCGCCCAGCAGCGTCTTCTCACTGCGGATAGGATGCAGCAATGCTGGAGGGGGCAGGGCGCTGAGCGGATCCAGTCTCCTGCACTGCCGAGAGGGTAGGAACCAAGTCTCCCCCAGCACCTGGATGCATCCGTTCCTGCCCACGCGCAGCAGGGCACCACAAACACTGCGGGATGCTCCAAGCAGCAGGGGAGGACGGGAGGTCCCTGTGGTACTCCCCGCAGTGCCAGACATGCTTTGAGATACTTGTAGCTTCATGCAGACTTACCCCAGGGCCTTCCTGTCCCGGCTGGCCTCGCAGCCCAGGGGCACCATCTGCTCCCTGCAACACAACTGCCTTGATTAGCTAGTGCCATGCTGCTGGCATTTTGGTCTCTGCACAACTATTCCTGCGCTTCATCCCCCCGGCTTGCAGACCTTCACTCCTGTATGACCATTTCTGTAACTGCGTGGCAGGAGAGGAGCCTTGAGTGGGGCAGCAAGGAAGAGGGACAGAGTGACACAGGCTGATGCCAGGCCGTTGCTGGGCAAGGCCAGAAGCCCTGGAGAAGGCTCTTCTGTCCATAGCTATGAGGCTGGGCTGCAAACAGAGACACTGCATGGCGTTGCTACCCTGCAACCCATCCTTTTTATGTAAATCAGACCAGCCCTTGGCTGAGGAACACCACTGAGATCTCTGGTCTTCTCCCTTTGTAGGCTCAAAACTGTACTGAGTTTTGTTTGTTTGTTTGTTTGTTTTTTACTATATAAACTTTTCCTCCTTTTGGCCTGTAGATGATTATGAAGTGGACGGGGTCAGCACTGAGAACTGCCATTTCAATGGGACAGTTTCCATCAGACAGGACACCAAGCAGCAACCCAGGGACATCCACTGGCTCTTCTGTCCAGCAGCCAGACAGCCCAGCCATGTCCTGCCCCTTGGGGCTGTCAAGTCCCTCCAGAACTATCTTGCAAGGTCTACTGCAAACAGAATCTGTCTCTTCCCCTCAAAACCAGCAGCAGGGACGCTTTACCCTGCTCTCTCTGGATAGACATCCAATGGAGAGTGGTCTCTTGGGGAAGCCCTTGAGTTTGCACTTCATCCCCACCAGAGATCAAGCTGAGCTTCCAAAGAGAAGACCTCGCTCCCAGAACAGCCTGAGGGAGCCAACCTGCCTCCAGCTGGAGTTCACCTAGTATGAGCAGCGGACGGCAGGAAATATTTTGCTCCTTTCAGAGATGAAGGTATGAAATTCAAGGATGAAGATATGAGATATTAGAGCAAGGGGCTTATCCTAGGGCACGCATGCAGTTGCACTAACAGCAGAGGAAGGATGTCAGGGGTCAGATGAGCAGGAGGGTTTAGCAGGGCTTAGATAAATACACGGGCAAGAAGCTCTTACAATGCCTCCTTTTGGACCAGAGGATCCTTCTATCCCAGTTGCACCCTGGAGTGGATGAGAAAAGCAAAGGAGTTAAGAATTTGGAAGAAGAGAGAGTGGCAGTGCTACAGAGAAGGAGGTGCACCTCACTCAGCCTGGGACACGGACTGTGCAGCTCAGGGCATACATCTAGTGTCCCTCACCTTGAAATGGGCACTTTTAGGATACAGTTATCTGAGCCATGGACTCAAGGAATTGATGGGTCACGCCACAGGACATCTCCACTGACAACACACAGAGCCAAGGGTGGCCAGGGCAGATGGGGACACCCATGCACTGGGCACCCCTGTATTTTGTCACCTGAATCCCACCCAGAGCATCCAGCTTTGCTCAGCCCACGAGGACACAGGCCTTCCCAAGCATTCCCACCACTCCTTGAGACAGCCACAAAGGCCTGCAGAGCCAAGGCCTTCAAGCACATTTGCAAGGTGTAATGGGACAAGTTTCAGCAGCTCCTTTCCCCTTTTGCCAGAGCTAAGGAGAAGGCCACACGAGTGGGGACCTGCACCTGGGACCTTGGAAATACCGTGGGCTCTGAGCCAAGACAACACCTGAAACACCATTTACCTGTGTGCCCCTCAGGCCAGGGGGTCCACGTCTCCCCTGCAAGCCCTGAGGTCCCTACAAAAATAGGGTGGGATGAAAACCTGTAATTACAACTAAATCAATGCAAGCACACGGTAAAACCCACAGTCTGCACTAGGAATTTTTCCAAGAGAACGTCCTCCCTTTTGGAAATGCTACTTTCCGGAAACAGAGGGAGGGGAGAAATCCTGGCCCTGAATAATCAGGAGTCAGGGCATCCTCCTGGGACACGGAGGCCGGGTTCCCATGGGTGGGCTGAGCCAAGAGGCACGAGGGGACCGCCTCATTGCTCCTTCATGTCCCACTGAGAGAGGTCCATCTTCCCATGATACAGAAGGGATTTGCACCCCCATTTCAGTGCTTTGTGGCATGGGGTTACAGGTTTAATTTCCCCTCCCTTCTCCCAGCAATGCTGCGGTGCTGGCACCCACCATGCCAGCCAGGGCTCTGGCACTGAGCCCTCCCAAGTCAACCTGTCGCTGCAAGGTTTGCTCAAAGCAAGCATGCTAATGACATACCTTGGGGCCCCGGGGCCCTGGCAATCCAGAAGGGCCCATTTCTCCCTAAGGAGAGAGCAGAGAATAGACAGAGTGAGTGCAGGAGCCATGCAGGCAGCAAACGTCCCAAAGGAACAGCAGAGCAGTGTCCTGCCAGCACAGACCCACCTGCGAGCCGTTGACTCCTTGACACCCCACCGATCCCGGCTGGCCCGGCTCTCCCTGCAAGGCAACAGCAGTGCTCAGCTCTGAAGTTGCTCAGGCCTCTGCATTTCCCTGCACCTCCACGGCCCCGGCCCAGGGAGTGAGGGGCCAAGCGAAGCACACAGAGGGAAAGGCAAAGCTGCTTTGCTGGGGTGCAGACTGGAGCTGGTCCTGGGAGTCCCCCGAGCTGTCTCGTGCAGCGAGAGGAGGCCAGGAGGTCCCCAGTCCAGGAGGGTGCCACAGAGACAGTGTCCGTGCCAGCTGGGATGCTGGGGGATCTTCGCTGGCGTGCGCGATTTTAACATCATTTTCTCTTTTTGCAGCTTGCTTTGGCTATTGTAAGGCTGTATTTTAAGTAGACGCATCCTTTTGGGCTTAAATCAGCACAAGTGAGAAGTTGGCCAGGTAACCCACCAGCCAGCGCAGGCCCCAGCGTGATGCACGCGATCCTCCCTTGCCCTCGTGGGGCAGACGTGAGCATGGCTGGGGAGGCAGAGCCACGGCAGCCAGCCAGAGCGCAGCAAGAGCTCCTCAGGTGCAAGCACCACCCAAGTCAGAGCAGTGGTTTGCATGTAAAAGCCATGACTTACCACAGGGCCAGCAGGGCCTGGGGGACCCTCTGAGCCACCTTCTCCCTGGAGAAGGAGAGGGAAATATCAGACAAATGTCATTTTTCTAGCATATTTTGCTTTGATTCTCTCCTCCTAGTCTTCACATCCCAAATTCTCCTTTTTCTTCACATCAAGCTTGAGGCCTCTTCTAAGGACCCACTGTCCCTCGGCCCAGACACAGCTCCCATTGCTGTCTGGTACAGCCCCAAGCAAGTCCCTTCCTCTCACACTCCCTTCGTGCTGGGAGGTGCTCCCATTAACTGCCACAAAACCACTTCAATTTTCCTTTTAAACACTCCATAAAACTGAGCCTTGTTAGGATGCCTCCCAAAGACTTGGCAGCAGTTAAACTGTTGCCTTGCTGAGAGCTGTGTGGAAAAAAAAACAGGTGCTTCCAAGCCTGGGCTTCATCTCATCTGAAGGTGGTCACTCCAACTAAATTATGAGGCAGCATGATCTATGACAGTTTGTTTGTCTTTAGCACCAGCCAAGAGAATTAGCTCAGATGTAAAAATCCATGCTGAAGAGGTCTGAGGGAGGGAAGGCTCCCCTGGAGCAGAGGAGAACATGCCCAAATGCTCTGAGGCAACTTCCCTGTTGATAAAAGAGCCTCCTCTAGGACAGATACACAGACGCAAAATACAAAAGGATCATGAAGATGTAGTTCAGGCTATTCCCCAACTCTCCGGAAAAAATAGTAACGGTTTTGTAAGGGGATAACCCCAGAGTGGTGCCACTGCTCTGCAAAGCCCAGCTCCTCCCTCCCACAGGCACGTCCTTTGGGTGGGAGGCAGCAGGCACCAGGACACATGGATGGGAGTTCCCCTCTGCACCTCTCTTTGGGGAGAACTCACGACACGGACACAACACAGCCACTCACCTCTGGGCCCATGGGGCCCTGGAAGCCGGCGGCGCCCTTCAGACCCATCATCCCCTAGGAGAGAAGCCCAGAGCAAGGCTCTAGAGCCAGGAACTGAACGCGGTCCATCCCTGCTTCTGTCTCTCCCCCAGCACAGGCTGCTCCTGCCTCCTCCATGGCCGGAGAGCAGCCAGAAGCGGTTAGAGCGGTGGCAGTTCTGCATGGCCCAGGGAAGGGGGAACAAAGGTACACGGAGAAAGGGAACGAGCAATCCCAGCACATCAAAGAAGATGCACAAAGTTTCTCTGTTAACTTACATGAACCCCAGCAGGACCTGCAGGACCATTTTCTCCTTTCACCCCCTGCAAAAGCAAAGAGCAGCCTGAATGACTGGGGAGGAGACCGCAGCCCAGGCAGCAGGAGCCAGCTGGGGAGGATGCAGCAGGGAGGGAGGACTCTCCTGCCCACCCCGGCCAAGGCTGCGAAGAGGCGGGATGGATACACTCACTTTTGCTCCCTTCTCTCCTTTCTCCCCAACTGGGCCAGGGTCCCCTGAGAACCCCTGAAACAGGAACAACAGAGACATATGAGCCACAACTGGAGCATTGGTGGTTTCAATGCAGCTGATGTGTCTCAAAGGACTGTCTGTGCCATGGGACAGGGCTTGAGTCTGTACTAAATGAGGCAGCCCCACAAGGAAAAGCCTCACCAGCATGGTTACCCACAGCAGCTGCGGGGCATTAAAAAAAAAATTCATGAGCCTGTGTAAGTGGTGCAACAGTTCATGTTTCGTCAGCCACCAACAGCTGAGTGCCCAAGAAGAGAGGTTAAGTCCAAGGGCAAGAGATTCTCCTGCTGGATGGTGGGATGATGTTGTTCATAGGCCAAAAGGCAAAATAAGGGCCAGAAAAGATAAATGAAAAACCACACGGAATTTCTTTTTCGAAAGGAAGATACTGTGCCGAAATGACCCAGGCATTTAAACACCCCATCTCATTACACCTTATAGGAACACAGGGCCAAAATTTGTTTAGCAGCTCTAAAAATTGTAGGCAACGCTTTTGGCTTTAAAAGGTTAGGGAAAAGACTAAAGCAACAGAAAACACTAGCATTTGCTTTTTTATGGACATTTTATATCCTGGCTGGAAAATCCACTGTAACAGCAGCCAGGTGAGGAATTGCAGGTGTTTTATGCTAACAGCCCTTGAACATCCTTCCCTGAAAGAGTGGCTCTGAACACAACACGCCTTACACAGCCGGAGGCTGAGCAGGGACACACCAGCAATGAAGTTTGTGAGCTGGGATCCCACATTGCTAAATATGACAGCAGGGTACCCTGCACCGTAACATGGCCTCAGTTTGGCACTTGTCCGTCTTGCTGTCCACAAGCTGGGTAGACGTGGGTACCAGTCAGAGGGCACTGCTGGTGCAGGAGCAGTTAATCCATTAATCAAAAGCTCTTAATGCTTGAAAAGTAAGATAGAGTAAAATGAAATAAAAAAGAAAAAAAAAGAATAAAAATAAAAATAAAAAGGAATAGCTCCCTCAAAATTACTTGGTGCCAGCAGACTCCTCCCGCCTCTGTCCCATCCCAGACAGGTTTCACACCCACAGGAGCACCTGCTGGTACGAGGGATGCGAGAGTGATGGGAAGGAGCAGGGCTGCAGCACCTTGCAGCCCCAGGAGCTTTTCACAGGTGGAAAAGCTGGGGAGAACATATGCGCAAGGCAGTGGGGCAACAGTGGGGCTTTGGCTGTCAGTGAATCCCTCCCCCAGCACCAGGTCGCAGAGCAAGAGAGACCACCGCCAGCTTACCTCTTCACCCTTCTCTCCTGCTGGCCCTTGGTCACCTTTAAAACCCTGCAGACCCTGCGGAGGAGGAGGAGGAGGAAGTGGATGAGGCGCTCAGGGCTGTCCAGCACCTCCACCATGTGCTGATGTCCTTGGGCCAGGCCACCACGGTGCGGGCCTGGCTCCAGCCCCACTTCCCACCTCCCGAGTGCTCAGGGATCCTCTCCCTCTGCCCACGGCTGCCCCAGTTCACACTCCTGAGGTTGCTCCTGAAAGCCACAAACACCTCAGCTTTGTTCAGTTCCTGGTACCATCCTGGAAAACCATCCTGAGAGAGCTTTCAGCCCAAGCACTTGGCGCATATCCCCCAGGGATTGCTGCCTGGGGGGGGCTGCACACAACATGGGCCAAGCTCTGCTAGCACCCCCGACCTCCTTGGTCAGCAAAGGGAAAGATACATTTCCAGCTCTTTTCTCAGCCTCTTTCCAGCAAACCCTCAGCCCAAAAAATCTCTGGCAGCTCCCCAAGGCCACTCTAAAAGTGCTCTCCCAGCTGCTTTTTTTCTTGGCTTTTTGCTTCACACATACACCTCGCACAATCTTCCTCTCCCTCCACCAGCCTCAGCTTTCACCAAGCATACTTTCATTTAACCGGTGTGAAAACCAGTCTTATGCCTTCCAGCATCAGACTATTCTTAAACCAAGACAGCACTCAACCCACCTCCCCTGCTTCTCTGCAGAGGGGATGGAGCCAGTGCCGGCTTTCTGCAGCCCTGCAGACCTGCACTTTGTTGTATTTCCCTTCCTCATCCCTCGAAATTCCCAGGCTCCCAGCCCATTTCAGGCATGGACATGGATAAGGGAAGGGATCGTCACACCCACAGCTGACAAGTCTTGCAGCTGCAACACTATCCGGGGAATCCATGATCACTCTCACTATTCCCTCCCCTCCCCCCACCACGCATATTTCCTCCTATAAAAGCAACTGGGTAATTCAAATACAGAAAAACTAGCTGGCATTCATGCTCAAACCCGCCACAGTGAAGGATTTTGCAGAGCACAGGCTATTCCAGGGCCAATAACTGCACCTTAATGCACATGTGTAGCGTTTTACAGCCCTTTCTGTGGGGAAACATGAACTCTGAGGTGATTATCCAGGAATACCTGAAGCTCCACCTAATCGCGTTCACAGTTTGTAGGCTTAGGGGGATTACTTTAGTTAAAGGAGGCAAACGAACAGTAACAGCAGCAACCTGGCTTCTTCAGCTCTGTATTGTCAGCTGGGGCAAAAAGTCTCTGGACCACTGCCCTGTGAGCATCTTTCTTTAAACATACAGCTGGAGCAGTGTATTAGCAATATCTGGAGGAAAGGCCATGGGAGGTTTTTGGGGGAGAAGGATGTGCTGCGGAGAGGCCTGGAATAGTGAAGCAGGACTCTGCTGTGTCTTCATCCCCTCATCTCCTCCTTCTGGGCGCAGGTACAACTCTGGGGCTGTGATTTTGGCCAGCTGTAGCTTCCCATTGCACTAAGCTAGGGGTCACACTCCTCGCTCCCTCCTGGCAGTCCCTTCTCACCTGCTCTCCCGGGAGCCCCAGCGGCCCAGGCTTGCCGTCCAGCCCGGGAAACCCATCCGACCCGGGGTAACCCACACGTCCTGGCATGCCCTGAAGTCCAGGTTCTCCCTGCAGAGAGAAAAACCAAGAGTGAAAATGAATCAGAGCAACACCGCGAGCGGAGCACCGCCTTGCGCGGCCGCCTGGTCCTGGAGCACTACCCTGAGACTCAGGTTTGTATGCAAGGGGAACAAACAGAGAAAGAAAGCATTTTATTTCCACCATAAACATTGATGATAGCAAAACACTGAGGTAAAACAAAAAAACATGCTCCCAGAGTTGTAGAAAGGTTAGCAAAAGGCCCAAGTCATTATGAAACCTATAAACCAAATGCTGAGCTCTGCTTGCATCGCTTTTTACAGCAATCCTGCTGGCTAATCATCAAGCTCTTCACAAAGAGACAGGGACATCTGGCAGAGGGAAAACGTTTGCACAGCACTGCTCCGGGACAGCTTTCACCACTTCCACGTGCATCTAGGCACTGATGCGTGAAAACGTTAATCACACACAACTGCCGATCCCCTCTAAACTCAAAATACAGAAAGTAGAAATCGGCAGCTCTACAACAAGAAACAAACTGGAAGTCGGGGAATAAGAAATGCATTAGGAAAAAGTCAAGTGAAAGCTTTCTGCGTTTGTTTCTCAGCTCTGTCGCTTGAACTTGAAGCCACCCCTGATCCATGCCCGCGTGCAAGAACCTCAGCAGATCCTCTGAACTAGTTACTGCTAGCTAAAGCTTAGGGGTAGGTTTTTTTTAATTTTTTTCTTAGCCCACTGGCAATTCTGATTTAAGGCTAGATAATAATCAGTCCGGAACAAATAGAAAACATTCTCCTTCAAATAGTTTCGACTGTTTGGCTTTCTCAAAAATTTTGCAAGATTTTGTCATCGCCAAATCCAGACTTTGTTCTGGTTTAAAAAGTAAGAGGAAGTGCAGAAAGAAGCAGCGGCTTCGATTTTTCTGTTCTTTTTTAAATGAAGAGTCTGGTTCTGAAAATAACAAACTTTGTTTGCAGGAAGTTTAATAAAGAGCTGCTTGGAGGCCCTGGATGGGGTAGCACAGACGGCTACTGCCCAGGCATGCAGCCGGAGGGGATGGTGGTGAGGAGGGGGGGGCTGCACCTCGAGGGCAAGGAACGGACACCTGCCTGAGCCTGAGCGGGCTGCAAAGCCTCTGGGGCCAAGCTTGAGCAGAGACGTGAACCTTAACTAAACAGGTCGCCAAAGCTAGCCTGGGTTGGTCAAGAATAGCCCAGTTTGTCGCTCATTTTTTGTGGTGTCTTCGTGTTGCAGCCGAGGAGCCCTGCTCTGGGGCCGTTTTGCTCGGGAGTGGAGCAACAAGCAGCAGGCTCCTGGCCTTCTCCCAAGCCCCGTTTGATCCCCAAATCCTCTGGGTAGGGTCGGTTGGGGGACGCCAGAGGTGCCGAGCCTGAAGGAAAGTTCAAGCCCTGGTGCCAAAGCATGAAGGCCATCGAGTTCAACCGCTGACGGGCACCAGCAACACCCCTGCCATCAGAGTGGGCTCAGGACAGCAGCCAGCGAGAGCTGGAAAAGGCGATGCTAGCGCCAAACCCAAGCCGAGAC